GTCCTCACCTCTCCCAGGACTTTTACAGCTCTAGGTAGGTCCAGGTGCCCTGTTTCTCAGAGATTCTCTGGTAGGTCAGCTCCTTTGCCATCAGTTAACACTTCTCCAGCCACATTCTGTCTTCTGAAAATATGTTAAAATCTCTTGTTCACACTGACATCAGTTAAGATTCTTCAGGTGCACGTAACAGCCAACCTAGTCTTACTAAACACTTAAAATAATTAGGAAACTTCTTATCACATGTGACAGGAAGTCCAAAGGTAAAAGGGCACAAGTCCCCAGAGATCAGAAATTGGCTCTGCTTCTCGGCCCCTCTTTCATTCTGTACTCTGCAGTCTTTTGGCTTCATCTTCAAAGTCTATAGTAGCACTTTCAGACACATCCAGATAAAACAAGGTCCAGTGAAGGTGGCGATCCCCCCCCCAAAAAAAATGGTTTTTTAAATTTCTCATGCCTTTTCCAAGCCAATCATTAGTAAAATTAATGAGATTCCATCATTGGTTTGGGGGTTAAATGGAGGTTAGGACGTCATCACCATAACTATCACCATATTTCTGCTGATCTTTTTGTTCTTTGAGGCTAATGCCTTTTTTATTCCTTTACTGTGATTTTAGTAGGCTTTTGGGAGGGAGAGGAGATAAGTGTGTTTGATCTATCTGCCCCATTTAACAGGAAGCTTTTCAGCCACCTTCTTACACATACCCGTACAACTAGTTCACTTTCTTTTCTTTTCCTTTTTTTTTTTTTAATTTTTGTTATTAAAACTTTCCCATGTACAGAAAGGAGAAAAATATAATGAACATCCTCATACCTAGTTTTAAGAAGTGTAATATTAAGGTTTTGCGATTATATTTACTTCAACTATATATATATATATTTTTTTTAAAGAACATTTTCTTTCTTTCTTTCTTTTTATTGGGAAACAGTATGTTTTCTCAGGACCCATCAGCTCCAAGTCGAGTAGTTTCAATCTAGTTGTGGAGGGCGCAGCTCAGTGGCCCATGTGGAGATCAAACTAGCAACCTTGGTGTTATGAGCACTGCACTTTAACCAACTGAGCTAACCAGCCATCGCTTCATCTATATTTTTTAATGATATATTTTAAAGTAAATTGCAGGTATCATGGCTCTTTACTTTCTTTCTTTTTTAGCTGAGCCATCCTGCCACCTGTTGACAGCTCAGCTTGGGCTGGGAATCGAACCAGTGACCCTGTTGCTCAGAGCTCGCACTCTTGAGCGAGCTCTTAACCAACTGAGCCTCTCGGCCGTCCCCATGGCTCTTTAAAGATTTCCAAATGCATCCTTAAACACATAAAGATATTTTCCTATATAACCATGACACTATTACCGCACTTAACAAAATCCAGCTCACTTCTATCTCCTGCATAACAGGGAGGTCCTGTCATGGTGGGGAAGGCTTCAAAAAGAGCCTACTAGAGGGCCGGCCGAGTGGCGCGATGGTTAAGAACTGGCTTGGGATGCCAGAGGGCCCCGGTTCGGATCCCATATATGAGGGCCAGTGACACTGCCCTCCACAGCTAAGATGCTGAACAACAGCTCAACCTGGAACTGGGCTGCCGTGAGTTGCCTGCGACGGCGTAGGCTGCAGCCCCTGTGGCAGTGGGTTGCTATGGGCTACCGCATGTAGCCAGCAGCCAGCGTGAGCAGCCAGCAGCTGGGGTGAGTGGCCGTCCAGAAGCCGGCGACTGATGTGCCTCGCCCGGGAAGAGCGCAATGATGGTGCCAACTTGGGCCAGTGAAGCAACGTCCTCCACAACTAGACTGAAGAACAAAAGGACAGCAACTTGTCTGTTTCCCTTCCCCCAATTCCCCAGCACTGTTCCCATCACCCCAATTCCCCAATAAAAATCTTAAAAAAAAAAAAGAGCCTACTAGAAAGTTTAGAAACAACTTAAATGTCCATCAATAGCTAGTTAAGTAAATTGGGAAATATCTGTATTATGGAATACTGGGGAATATTAAAAATGATATAGTTCTATACATGGAAAGATTTCTATGGAAAGATCTCTACTTCACTAGGTTTAATTTAAAAAGCATGCCTCAGGGTGGCCAGTTAGCTCAGTTGGTTGGAGCACAGTGCTCACAACACCAAGGTTGCCAGTTCGATCCCCACATGAGCCACTGAGCTGCGCCCTCCACAACTAGATTGAAACAACTACTCGACTTGGAGCTGATGGATCCTGGAAAAACACACTGATCCCTAATTAAAGGGGGGGGGGGGAAAGCGTGTCTCAAAGTAGGATGCACATTATAATCCAGTTCTTGCTTAAAAATGCAGGTGCCTGTGTATGCACAATACAGTCTGGAAGGATATAAATCAAAATACTGATAGCACTTGATCTTGAGTGGCAGGATTACACATGCCATTTTCTTTCTGAATATGTTTCAGCATCATCAGAATTGTTTTGCTCTTTGGGCCTTCAGCTATGAAGAGGCAATAGTGTGGTTGCCCCTCCTGATACAGGAGAGTCGGTACCCAGGAAGGAGCTAGGGAGATGTAGATGTGTTGCTGGACTGTTGACTTTTTTTAGCTAAGCCATCCTGCCACCTGTTGGCAGCTCAGTGGCAGCTCAGCTCAGGCCAGGAATCAAACCAGCGACCCTGTTGACTTCTAACATGCAGCATGAATGGCATCTTTGTGGGGGGTTTTTGTTTTGTTTTGTTTTTAAAGTTTGTAGCAGAGGACAGTTTTATTACAGCAGAAAGTTACAGCTCTCGAAATGAGAAGGGGTCCTGAATGGGATGCCCCTCTTTGTTTTTATAAGTATGGGAAGGTGACAGTCAATAATAAACTGCCATACTAACAGAGTTCTTGCAATAACACTGAAAAATTACCTGGGGCTTTGTTTGGGGTTTTTTTGTGTGTTTTTTTGTTTTTTATTATTATGATGATAAAATATGCATAATAAAATTTACTGTTTCTAAATGTACAGTTTAGTGACAGTAAGTACATTGACATTGTAGTACAATCATCACCACTGTCCATCTCCAGAACTTTTTCATCATCCTATACTGAACTTCTGTACTCATTAAACATCAACTCCCCATTCCCCCTCCCCAGCACCAGGTACCTCATGTTGGAATCGTACATTTGTCCTTTGTGACCAGCTTCTTTCGCTTATCATAATGTCTTCAAGGTTCATCCATGTTGTAGCTTGTATCAATATTTCATTCCTTTAAAAAAAAATTCCATTTTAAGACTTAATATTCCATTGTTCATATATGCCTTATTTTGTTTATCCATTCTTCTACTGGTGGCCATTTGGGTTGTTTCTGCATTTATGGCTTTGTTTTCAAATAACTGTGCTTTTGGGATCTAGTTTGAACTCTGATATTTAACACCTAGAAAGATTTCAAAGCAACAAAGAATCCAGAGTGAAAATGAGGGAGAAGGGAGACAAATCAACAGTGCTGCCTCATGTGGAAGGGACAGCTTTCAAAAAGAATGCAGAAAACCAATTTTTTTAAGGATCTTGATTTTTTTTTTTCCCTCCAAATCTTCTTTTTCTCCCTGGCCAAACCCCTGATGAAAATAGAGAAGCAGTAAAAACAACTGACAACTAACTTAGACCGTTTCTCTTCTACTGGTGTGGATGTGTTTGTTTTGTTTTTGTTTCTGCCTTGTTTTGTTTTTTACTGCTTGGGAAGTGTGGAGTGCTACCTCTTACTGTGACATTGCTTTTCTATAAGCTGAGCCATAATTGAGATGAGATATGCTGGATAATGTATACACATGAAATTCATTTATTCCTTCACTGAGAAACACATTTCTTCATCACCTTCTATGAGCCAACCATACCACTGGCTTATCAAAAAGTAAATGGTCAGCCGAGTGGCTCAGTTGGTTTAGAGTTAGCTTAAGAGCGCGAACTCTGAGCAACAGGGCCGCCGGTTTGATTCCCACATGGGCCAGTGATGCTGCACCCGAGCTGAGCTGTTGATGAGCTGCCAACAGGTGGCAGGATGTCTCAGCTGGTGAGAGCACATGCTCCTAACAACAAGACTGCCTATTTGATGGTGGGCTATGCCCACCCACAACTAAGACTGAACTTAGCACCTTGAGCTGAGCTGCCACCTAGATGGCTCAGTGGATAGAATGTGCGCTCTTTACAACAAGGCTGCTGGTTTGACTCCCACATGGGATGGTGGCTACGCCCACCTGCAACTAAGATTGTAACACAGCACCTAGAGCTTAGAGGCCACGAGCTGCCGACGGGCAGCCAGATGGCGACTGGCACACTCCACAACTAAGATTGAAGAACAACAACTTGGCTGGTCCCCCTCCCCCAATTCCCCAACACTGTCTCCCACCCCGAATTCCCTCCCCCAAAAAAGTAAATGGACCCCAAGAAACTTTAATTTAAAAAAAAATTAAATGGAAACATTCATCCTCAGAAGATACAAGTAGACTACACGGGGCTTGATAGTAAGACACTGGCCTGGCTATGGGTAAGGGACTTGTGGCTCCATCACTGGAACAAAAGCTTTTTTCATGCTTTCATGTTAACTATTTCATAAATCCATAGTTTAGTAGCAAAAAAAAAAAGTGTTTCTAGGGCTGTCTTTCATCATCACTGATATTTTGTCAATTGGTTTGAACCTGTTTACCTAGTTGATCTTCCTGTCAAGTTCCGCTTTCAAAGAGAAGGAAATTACATGCAAACTGGTGAATAGTTATAACTGAACTCATGGAAGACTCATTTCAAGTTAAATTAACTCTCTGTCACATTACTGTATTTTGTACTCCGCTTACACTGCTGGCGTTTTCCCTCGTGCCTGGATTCAAGCAGGGCAGAACCTCAGGCCCATCCGATCTGTAGAGAGCTGGTTACTGCTAACCTTCTCAGCCTGAATGTTTCCCTTACGCAGATTGGCCATGGACCTGGGGAGAATAACTGGGTTGCCATCTGAGCTGCGTTAAACTGGGTGGGTCTTGTCACCTCTGAAAAGTTTATTCTGTTTGTTCTCTCCTGTCCTTAGACCGTCATCTGCAAACAGCATAAGCAGCAGCACATCTTCAAATCACAGTGGCTACACTCCGGAACTCCCTCTGCCCCCAGCTGGAGGGGACCTCGCCAGCCGACTGTCGAGTGATGAAGGGGAGATGGACGGAGCCGACGAATCTGAGAAGTTAGACTGTCAGTTCTCCACCCACCACCCCAGACCGCTTGCGGTAGGCCACCTGCTGTTGCCCTCGTGCATTTGTCCCCTGTGCTTTGTGGGCATTTAAGCGACTATGTCAGCGGGTACATGTTTCTAAGGAGAGCTCGTCAGGACAGTATTTTACAGAAAGGCTTCCCCTGAGGTTGAATGATTGCCTTAGAAATACCTTTGAAAGTCGCAGAAGGAAAGGAAAGGCCTCCCAGCTGATTATAATCCTTTGAACACCTGAGTATTTGGTCCACCTTGAAGCAGTAATGCTTGAGAAATGGTGTTTATATAAGTGCACTGGGGAGCTGACCTTCCAGCTTTTCCCATCTGAAAACAGAGCTTCTGATTTCAAGAGTTAGTCTAGCTCACCTGCGTTGAGAACCGTCTGTCTCAGTAGTGTGCCTAGGTGCCAGGCCTGGCTGTTTTTCTCCCCTGTTGGTTTAGAGTTTTATTGTTATTAGTAAGTGTGACCATATGGCACTGGTACTGAGAGAGAAAGAGAGAGAGAAAGAGAGAGAGAAAGAGAGAGAGAGAGAGAGAGAGAGAGAGAGAGTGTTGAGGAAATGAGGAGGCATTTCGTGTGACTGCTGATGAACAGAAAGGTCAATTTCTTCCCAGTCCTTGAAAGAGTCCGCTTTAACAGTTGAGGTCATTGCAATCTGGGTGGGAACCATAAGGAGGCATGAGCTGGAGGCTTGTGGATGTTTGCCGTACAAGCACTTGAGAAGCGAATACTGGTGCTACTACCATCACAGGGCTGAACGCCGGGGGCCTGGCATGTTGGACCCCATGGCTGGTTTGCTCTGCTGCCAGCTTGAGCCCTATAGGAATAGCCTGGACTCTTCTTAGAGCTCCGGACTGCAGGTGAAATCAATCCTGCATCAAGATAGAGTGAGTCCCTCCTCCTTTCTGTTTATGAGATGAATGAAGGCCAAATTCACTTCCTGTTGATGGGAATGCTGGTGACCTGCGGTTCACCAACGGCCTGGGTCTTTGCCTCTTGGCTAATTCAGAAATAGTGAGATGATTAGGAATGCCTTTGATTGCCGGTAATAGAAAACCCAATTCATACAGTGCATGCACTGCGGTCACTTAATTCTCTCATGTAACAAGAAGTCTAGAGGTAGGTGGTTCCAAGCTGGGGGAGAATCTCTGCAACCCGCTTTACCTTTCACACATGACCTCAGTGAGTCTGCCATGGCTCCAATATCCCATCTTCACCCAGCAGCATTCTACACAGGATGGAAAGGCACAAACAGAAAGGGAGTCCTAAGGTGCCATCTGACATCATTTCGTAGGGAAGAAAATCTTCCTGTGAACTTCCTAGCAGACTTGCCCTTACATCTACCAGAAGTGAGTCACACACCCACTCCAATACCACTCGATGGCAGAGAAGGATGAGATTGCATTGTCCTAGGATGGAGCCAGCCACAATACATCCCAAGGTTCCGGGAAGAGACCCACCTTCCCTGCTCACTGTTCCATATATCAGATCACTGTCAAATATCAGAACAAAAGTGTGGTTCTGTTAGCAATGAAAAGGCAGGGAGAGGAAGGAGGGGGTGGCAGTTGATGAGACTGGCAACCTGTGGGGCCTGCCACAGTGGCCAGCACACTGAGGATCACAGCTCTGCCGAGAGCATAATATGTAACCATGAATAACAGCCTCTCAGGGCACCTGGCCTTGCATCTCTGTGGAATTAGAGACATAGATAGCAGACAAAAAGGTGCCTCCAGCTTCCAAGTCTGAAGGAGAGACCAGGTTCTACGAGAAGGCCAGACTCGGGAGTACAGCAGATGTTTGTCCAAATGCCAGACTGCCGGACTGCAGAGGATTCACTCAACTCTGGGCACGGCGGATGTGTGTGCCCGTAATGTTTTGCTGACTTAAATGGAAAGGCCATGGATTTGTTTCTTTGCTTTGTCCTATCTCTCATGGTCAATTGATATGTTAAGTCACTTTCGTAATGAATACTCGTTAAGTGTGTCTTGAGCAGCTGGGATGAAGGAAGAAAAGATGTCTAGACCTGGAACGGCTCCACACTGGAGAATTCTCTTTGTATGCTTTCTTGCTTGGTCAGGAAGCACTTAATATGAATGAAAGTGCAGAAGAGTTTTTCATCAGGAGTACCAGATTTGATGGGTGACAAGATTTTAATGCAAAACCCCCCAAAACATAAGCAGAAATCAAACAAAAGGAAGGTGTTGTATTTGTTCTTGAGAACTGTTCTAACGGCTGGTTCCAGGAAGGGTTCGGGGAACAAGTGCCAATCCAGCACTGTGTCTGGGAGGGACGCCAGGAGCTGCTGGAGGCCCGGGGGCAGGGGGAGGCCGAGAAGCTACATTTGAGTTAGAGAGTCATTTGCAGACTCGTCTGAGCTCTAGACCAGCCAAATGTCACCTTCTCAGAGGCCACTTTTTGCATTTCTGGTTGTCCTAACCATAATAAAATGATGTTTATTAAACCTCTAACGTCCCATGTTACAGCCATACGTTTTAAATGTGATGGTTTTATTTAAACATTTTGTGGGACTTTTATCTCACCAATCCATCCTTTAGCCCAAATCCCTACATCCTCATATTAAAGAAAAAGAGAATGAGGTCCCTGGCCTTTATACACTTACAATCAATCAGGCACATAGGCATTATATATTAATATTACATAAAACACCCAGGTAGTGATTCCAAGGTAAAATACTGCAATGAAGTATGCAGTAGGTGTGCTGTGGGGCTCAAGGGGCAAGGTCAGTCAGATAAAAGCCATTGGAAACGAGAGTCCTGATTAGGGCACTGAGGACAGGAAGAGTGGATTGACAGGGAAGAGGGAAGAACGGGGCAGGAGGAGGGAACAGCATACGTAGAAGCTCAGAGGCAGTGATGTGTCCCAGGGCAACCTGCAGGTACTGATAGGAGGGGAGACGAGGTCGGGATGATGAAAGGAGGAGTTTAGCCTAGTTAGAAGTGAAGTGGCTCTGTTGACAATGGAAAGGAAAGGTATGACCAGTTGGCAAGACACTAGAACAAGGTGTTTCCATTACTATGATGAGAAGCAAGGAACCACCAAGTTCCTTAAGAAGATGGATGATTCGATAAGCAGGTGGTGCTGAAAAATCCCCCTAGCTGCTGGGTGTTGTTGGTTTGGGGTTTTTTTTTAACCTAAAATGCTGACTCAGTCCTGAATGTAGAGAAGGTAGCCCTCGGTGCCACATAAATTTGAATGGCACTATTGTTGAGTCATAATGTGAGGTTCTGCAGAAAATCTAGAGCGCAAACTGAAGCACCACAGAAGTATTTTTGGCCTCAGTACTATTTGCTTCTTTATTTTGAGTCAAATTGTACCACTGTGTGTTTTTATGCAAATGTTATTTTTCTCTGTATGGTTTATATTTAGCTTATTAACCTGTAATCAAAATTAAAATTTTTTTTTCTCACAGTTTTGCTCATTCGGGAGTCGCCTCATGGGACGAGGGTACTATGTGTTTGACAGAAGATGGGATCGTTTTCGATTCGCCCTAAACTCCATGGTAGAAAAACACTTGAATTCACAGATGTGGAAGTAAGTGCCGTTTTTTAGCAATGTAAGATCAGAGCTGCCCCACAAATATCTGAACCTCAACTTTCTAAATGAATAGCAGTAGTTGGCTTTTCATATAACAAAATGACTCCAAAGCAGGATTTATGATTAATTCTTAAATGTCAGCTCTTCATAATGGCTTGCCTATGTGTCAGAGACACATACGATGTATACTATCTGTACCTTGTCTTTGGAGATCACTTTTGTGTTGGTAATCTTCTAAATGAAAAAGGTATTAGAAAAGACCTTATTTATTATTTAACAGTATAAAAGGACCTTTTTGCTATGACTAAGGACATCTAAGGATATGAAGAATTTGCTCTGTTTGTAATGTTAAGGCTATAACGTCAATACTCCAAATTTCATAATGGCCATGAACCAATTTCTAATTATTTAATGCCCTATGAAAAAAACTTGTTCATTGGCCAACAGGGCAGATCCTGAGTGATGTTGTGAAATGGGTTAAGCTTGTCTTTGGCCCTTCCCACCCTTCTAGAACTCTCTCCTCACCTCTACTCACATTTCTCTCTAACCTAAACCCAAGCTTATCTTCCATTTCTCTAATGTCCCTTTATTCTCCAACACCTCCCAATATATATTTACATTTTCGTAGGAGATTTATAAAAAGGGGAAGAAACCCTCTTGACTTAGGAAAATGCTATTGTGGAGGAGTGACAGGCTAGGCCCTATCGAACCCCAGCACATAAGGAGCTGCCATTGTGGCCCCTTGATGATGCAAGGCCGGCCGGCCTGCTGGCTGTCCCCACGCCCCACTCCTCCAGGATGAGCTCTTAAGATATCCTAACCTGTTAGAATCATGGATCCCTCAGGTCTAGGCCCAGATGGTTCAGGAAAGCCAACTCTGAACCCCTCTCCCTGCCCAATGAAGCCCAGGAAAGGCGAGGAAGGTATTCCTGAGAAATGGGAGAGGACTGACAGTGGGAATGAGAACAAAATTCAAAACTGACCCTTCTCTCAGGTTTGCTCCTCTCTCCAGGCAGCTGTGGCATCTCAGACCCTTTTCATGGTGATGCCCAAAAGCTTCCAGGCCTGAACTTCCAGGAGGAGTGAGCCCCATTGTGTCTGCAGTAAGCTCTCATAGAGGATTTAGGACTAAATATTAATACTCCTGTAAAGTAGGAAAGGGCCACAAGAGAAGCTTATCGTTTCTTCCCATTTAAGCGACTGCCCGGTGTGTCTAAAAGGCACCCTGATACCTACCTGTGTCCATTCTAAACAGCTCCAGATTGGCACTGTATGCGGGTTTGCCTTGTTCGCGGTTATTTGGTTATTGATCCTTCTGTGATTGTTCCCCCGAGATGGCAGCTGGCCCTGGTGATTCTTGCAGCTCTGTGCTCTCCTCTCCTGTGTTGTGGAAGTGTAAATCCCGGACACGTGGCAGGAATGTGTTGATCTGTATTTCGCTACCTGGTGTCCTGTCAGCTCAAGCTCCATATTCCTTTCCTCCTCAGGCACAGAAACCCGAGCCACAGGGCATCAGGTCCCTCCCCCCTTTTCAGGACTTGCCTAACCAATCTGCTGTCACTGAGCAACATTGGGGCTGCCTGGGTGTCAACTCTGGAGAGCGTAGCACCCCGCTGCCCTCTCAACCTCGCTGCCCAAACCCCAGGCCCCGACGGGCCCGAACCTGGAGGGATGGCAGCCGATGGGGGCGTGGAAGACATTAGGAAGAAAAGGAACGGCCAAGACTCTTTTTTCTTTAACAAGCATTTAACTCTGCATCAGGAGACGCCAACACAGTATTCTCTTTCAGCCAGGTCAGCATCTGGAGCTCCATGCCAGCTGGCAGGGGAGGATGGGCCCTGTCAGTAATTGATTCGCACCTGTGGGCTTTTTTACGGGAGGTCCCTAGGCCAGTGAGCAAAGTTTAATCCAGGCACAGCCCCCAAAGCTGAAATCCACTGCCATTCGTCCCCTAGGAAAACACATAAACTGCTCAGCATGGGGGGAAGGGGCTCCCGGGGACAGTGAGCGGCCACTCGGCCTTGCCTTGCTTCTCCCTGCCCTCTCTCCCCTCCTGCCTCTGCTGTCCGCTTATGATCAATGCAAGAGGCAGGAAGGGAAAGAAAGTGTACCAAAAAATAGCCCCCATCCTAACCCTGAGTGTCAGCCAGGTAAGCCTGAGGACTTCAGCTCGGCTTGTCAGCACAAGCTGAAGCATGCATTTATACTATTAAATGGGAAAATTACAAATTGGGCCATTCAGAGTAGGTCCCAGTTAAGGTCATTGAATGGGGTCCTCTCTAAATGAGCTGTTTGGTATTTGTAAATAACTTTGCGTTACAAAGTAACTGCCAAACCTCTGCCCACATGTATTTCTATCCAGACTGTAGCTCTGGTAAGAAGCTTGAGCTGAGGAGAGACAGGGGGGGCCTGCAGTGCCACAGCGAGGCGGCAGACAGCAGGGCAGGTGTGCCAACACTGTACACTCTGACAAGTGTCCCCTGGTGCTGTTAGGAAGGGGTGTGCAGTACCAGACAGCTCTAAGGGCGTGCTTAGACCTCCCTGGTCTGGTTATATGGGAGTCCTTGCCCAGCATGCGTAGTTATGTTGCTGCTGAGAATTCACCTGCTCACCCATCCACTCACCCATCATCCATTCATTCATTCACTCATTCATTCATTGCAATAAGGACCAATAGAGCACTTACGTAGTGCTGACGGGATCTTCAACATTCTTTAGGCTTAAGAGGAAGTAGAGATTTTCAAACACCATCATGGCCACACTGAGTTGGGCAGTATTTTTCTCTTCTCTTTGATCTCCTCACTTTGATATATTTTTCAAGGACTCTGTGCTTCTGTATTCAAAGATTCCTCTCAATTCCACCCTAAAGATGGAAGCCATAGGCTCCACCCAGCTGCAGGCAGAAAACCGAATCCTCTAGAATAACAGAACTAAGAGAGGCATTTCCTTCTCAGCAGGGCCTCTTTCCAGAGTTTCCTGATGCCACAGCTGGGAGGGTGGCCTCCCAGGAACATGGGACTGGAGAAGCCCCACCTCACACCTTGCTGCCAGCTCCCTGGGGTGTAGGTCCCAGGCCTGCCCACTTTCAAGTGCTGCTTTCGAAGAAGAAGAGCAAATTGCTAACTGCTGGGGAGCGCCAGCTATGCTGGATATGATTTCCAGGGGACATTGTGGGGGGGGCAGGGGGCAAGGTGAGAAATAGGAAAGAGCCAGCTTAATATTTACCTGGCTCCTGAGGTCAGTATCTTTTCCACAAAATCAGGAACAAGTGGTGACTCCAAGGCCTCTGTGCTCCTCCCGGTCCCCAAAGTAACAGCAACATCAATCCAGGCCGTGGTTTGGAAGTAGGAGCTGTTTCCAGCACAAGTGACAAGATGGAGTTTGCAGGAGGCCCCAGGAGTGGCTCACCATCTGGCGCTGGCCTTGGCTCCACGGAGTATAAGAGGCATGGGGTTTGCTCTCCCAGGCAGCCCAGCCTCCAGGAAGACCTTCCCCATCTGGATGTTGTCCTGTGCCCATACCCTGCATTGCTCTTCAGAACAAACGAGAAATTCCTGACCCCCTTCTCTGAATTAAATGAGGATGTCTATACTCACCCCTCCCTAACACAGAGACAAGAACTGTTGAAAGGCAGCCACACCTCAATTATAGCTCCACTGAGTCAAGGGTGCAGTGGACAGGGAAAAAAATCAGCCCTGGGTCTCGGCATGTTGACAACTCCATCATTTCCCAAGCCCCAACCCTCCAAGGCCCTGCGGCCTCCATGGCTCAGCCAACAGGAGCCAGCAGCCGCAAGCTAACGTGGGAATACCTCTCTCCAGAGTAAAGCAGAGGCTGCAGACAGGAAATGCAGGAGAAGGCCGGCCTGGAAGGAGATGGGTGTTTCTCATTCTGCCTCAAGCGGAAGAGCTGGGTGGAGAGGCAGGGGACAGGAAGCCCTGACAGGAGTAGGCAGAGGCTGCAGGGGGCACAGGGGGACACTCTGGCCCGTGTGTGTAAGTGGCAAAGCCCTGTCCTCACACTTCTTACTTTAAGCCAGGACCTAAGTGTGAAAAGACCACTTCTCATTAAAAACCACCTTCATCACTACCAAAAAAAAGGAGAGGAATACTGTTGGGGAAATATATATTCTAAATAACACTCGCCTTTTATTCATGAACCCAAATTAGCCATTATCCAATAGCCAAGCATGGAGAACAAGATCTGAAAACCTGAAAGTGATTAAAAATAGGTTGCTGGATATTGCAATGGGGGAGCCATAGGGAAGGGCCATAATTCAGATTTTACCATCCTTCAAGGCTTCATTTTCCATAGTCTGGTTTTACTGGGGTTGTCGCTGTGGCCCTGATGCTCACACTTAATCGAGCCTCTGCAGCAATGCCAAGCCTGTTTCTCACTGTTTCTCTTTCACTCTTCTCTCATGTTTAGGAAGATCCCTCCTGCGGCAGATAGCCCCATGCCCTCGCCAGCAGCCCACATCACCACCCCTGTTCCAGCATCTGTTTTACAGCCTTTCAGCAACCCCAGTGCTGTGTATCTTCCTTCAGCTCCCATCAGCTCAAGACTCACCTCTTCTTACATAATGACATCAGCCATGCTCTCAAACGCAGCTTTTGTGGCGTCGCCGGACCCGAGCGCCCTCATGTCACACACCACAGCTTTCCCTCATGTGGCTGCAACCCTCAGCATCATGGACTCAACCTTCAAGGCCCCATCTGCCGTGTCCCCGATACCAGCCGTCATCCCTTCCCCATCCCACAAGCCATCCAAAATCAAAACCAGCAAATCCTCAAAAGTCAAAGACCTGTCAGCCCGTAGCGACGAGTCTCCAAGTAACAAAAAGAGGAAGCCGCAGTCCTCGACTTCCTCCTCATTCTCCTTGCAGACATCCCTCTCGTCTTCATTATCAGGGCCCCACAAAAAGAACTGTGTTTTGAATGCCAGTTCAGCTTTGAACTCCTATCAGGCGGGCCCTCCCTATAACAGTCTGTCTGTGCACAACTCAAACAATGGGGTGAGTCCACTCAGTGCCAAACTGGAGCCCTCAGGACGGACCTCACTGCCCAGCGGCCCCGCGGACATAGGGAGACACCTGGGCGCGGTGGGCGGCAACAGTGACTCCTGTCCCCTCTCGGTGCCCTCCCTTGCAGGGGACCTCTCTCTGGCCTCACACAATGCCGTGTCTTCTCTGCCCCTCTCTTTTGACAAATCAGAAGGAAAAAAGCGTAAGAACTCGAGTTCTAGTAGCAAAGCCTGTAAAATCACTAAAATGCCTGGTATGAATAGCGTTCACAAAAAGAACCCGCCCAGCCTTCTCGCACCGGTGCCCGATCCCGTTAACAGCACCTCCTCTCGGCAGGTAAGGGACCCGTCCTTGCAGGGGCCTCCTGGCACTACCTTCTCGGCCCGGGGAGCAGGGGAAGTTGGGCAGTGCTCCTGCTTAGCCAGGTGGCTCAGACAGGTAACGCAAGCGTGACTCCTCGTCGTTTTCCCCATAGGTAATTGTCCCCTTCAGCTCTGAGAACAGCTTATTTAATAAATACTGTCTATAGCTCTCGCTGTGTGCTAGGTGCTTTTCTAAGCACTATGCACATATTCATTTAATCCCACAACCACCCAGTGCAGTTGGTGCAATTATCAACACTTTACAGATGAGGAAACTGAGGCACAGAGATTCTGAGTTTCCCACTCCACTTCTGTCTATATCTTGAGGTTCAAAAGATGGCTTTATTAAAGAATCCTGTTACCAAGAAGTTTTATCTGCTCCATTGAAGTCCCCTTAGGAAGAGCCAAGGCCCAGGCAGGTTACAGGATGACCCGGGGTTTAACCTGGGAGTGGTAGCTAACTTGTGCTTCCAGCTCCCAGGTGACTATCCTTACTTTACCTGGCTGCCTCAACACCCACCTCCTCCTGGTATAACTTTTTTTCCTAAAGTAAAACTGAAACTCACACCAGCTGGCACAAAAGTGTCCCATGCCATTGTACAAAAGGAGGGTGTATTGTGAGGAAAGCTGGGAGAAGGTGGCGTAGTCCCAAGACGGATCTGTGTTTCTTTCCCTTGAGCTCTGTTCACACCATCAAATCTAGTCTTCTCAGGCTGGGGAAACTACTTGGGAAAGCCCCACCCCTACCCCCATCCCCATCAGATTCAGGGGAGAGACTGAATGGGAGGGGCGGAGTCTGGCGGGAGGACCTGGTCTGCAGGCCTGCCCAAGGGCCTTAACAGTGCCAGGGTGGTGTGCAGACTAGCAGCAGCCCCAGGTTTACAACCACAGAGTTATGTGGGCCGGACCCTAAGCCCCGCCCTGTCTGGAGATGAGGACTTTGGAGAGATGAAAGGCAGTTGTTAAAAAGATGTTTTATTGTTTTGTGTCATCTTTATATGAAACTTTCTAAAACCTCACGAAGAGAACATCTTGAGGGGGATTCACAAATCACAAACACTTGAAAAACAGCAAGTTTGGATCCCAAGGGCCAGACAAGCTGCAACTGAGGCCAAGGTGAGAGAGGGGGAGACATAGGTCCTCTCAGTAGTGCCCGGGACACTAGCACGCGTCTGCAGCTGCAGCAGATGTGCTGCCATTCTGACTCCCCAGCTCCTGGGGTACAGGGGGAGGGGGACCAGCACCCGTAGGCCCTGCTCCGAAGCTAAACTGCTTGGGCAATGCCACCTCCAGGCCTCAGGATGGAGGGCACAGCCAGGATTTCCAAAAATTGAATGTGCACATGAATCACCTGGGGCTTTGTTAAAATGCAGATTCTGAGCCTGAACGGCTGCATTTTTAACAGGCTTCCAGGCAGTGGTTTATAGGTCACACCCTAAGCAGCAAGGCTAGTAGTCACCCATTTCCAGTAAGTTCTAGCAGCTAACACTTACTTAGGGGATGAGCTCTGTTCCAAGCACTTCAGATATATTGCCTTATTTAATCTTTACCTGTTATTATCCCCATTTTATAGACAAGTGAGCCAAATGCACAGCAAGTAAATAGTAGGGCTGGGACGTAAGCCCATGCCATTTGGCTCTGGAGTCTGGGCTTAACCCTCATGCCTCTGTACTGAGTAAAGGTCGCTCTGTTGACACTCTGGTATCCAGGACCATATGAAATGTTTAACAAATACTAGGGGTCAGTTGACACCAGTGGTGAAAGGAGCCGACAAACCTCCACCAGCGAGTGCTCATCAGGAGAGAAATCAAAAAAGATGATGAATGTAATGGCTCCCTTGGGTCTAGACAGCGTTGGTTCTCTAATGCAGGTGATACTGGGTGCTTGTCACCAGGCCATTAAAAAAAGCTTGTCCAGGGTCACCACCAGGGATTTCCAAGCATTGGGGGAAAGGCCTTTGGAATCTGTTGATTCTCTTAGGAGACTGGAAGGGGCATGAGGTTGAGAAATTCAAGGTAAACATGTGCTTTGGGGACCATTTGGGGATCTGTTTAATTGGATCTGATAGGTGTAAAGCTAGAATTTGCCAAAGAGGTATTAAACAGAGCAAAAAAGAAGACTGTGAATGTAAGGCAAATGTTTTTATGCAAAGTCGAGTTAATGTAGAAGACCAGCTCTTTATAGGCCAGAGGCAGGAGCTGCCTTTGGGAAGGTACCCACCTGAGGACCCAGCCCAATGTTTGTCGCAGTCACAAAGGAAGGGGAGGAGCCTGATGGCCACACCCACATGCTCCCAGTGCACTGTCCTAGGACCCAGCTCAGGCTCCCACTTACAGGGAAGCTCAGTGCCATTTGCTATTTTTCTCAAGAACAGTAAGGTGTGCACTGTGTCTCCTGGCTGGGAAAACTGACCCAGAAAAAGACCCAGACTTTTATCCCCAGCTGGTCCAAGGGAGTCTGGGCTAGAAACAAGGCAGGCCTGGGACTGAGGTCAGAAATGGATGAGTTCGTGTAACCCTCTGGCCACAGTTGGAAAAGCTGGACCTCTGTTGAGTTAAGTGCTCCCAGGAGGGGCCGGGCGACCAGCCAGAGGCCTTTGTCCTCATCCCTGAAAGTCCCAGGCTCTACATCTGGGAAGCAGAATTGTGCTTTCCCTCTGGGACGAGAGGAGCATCATCAAGGTATCCCCTGAAACATTTTCATTGTCTCTGCCATTTAAGAATGGAAACACGAGTTCCAAATCGATGCAAAGAGAATGAGGACATGATTCCCCTAGTAACACATGGTATTGGTGGATCTTTTTCAAGCTGGCTCATGTATCTGAGTGGGGCTTCGCTGGTGTCTTTCAGGTTGGGAAAAATAGCAGCCTAGCTTTGTCACAATCCAGTCCTTCAAGCCTATCCAGCCCAGGACACAGCCGACAGGTAAGTTACTGGTGGGCAAAAGTACATAGAGTCATCAGCAGGCTGGAAAGAATGTGGGTGTTGGAGTCAGACCCTGGTTCAAATCTCATCTCCAGTTAAGAGCGTGGCAGCCTGGCTTCCAAAGCCAGGCCTTCTAATTATTAGCTGTGTGCCCTTGGAGAAGTTACTTAACTTCTCTGTGCTTCAGTTTCCTCACCTATAAGATAGGGATCGTAATGGCCTGTGCTTCATATGGCTTTTGTGAGGATTAAATAAATTCATTAACATAAAGCCTCTAGAAAATTTTTGACACAACAAACACACAAGTATTAGCTATTATTTTATTATTATTATTATTATTATTAATTATTAGCATCTGTGTAATATTAGGCAGATTACTTCTCTGAGTTTTTTCATCTGTTAAATGGCAAAATCGATGCCTACCTCCTAAGGCTATTGTGAAAATTAAATAAGATCATGTTGACTAAAGGGCCTTGTTCATGACAGATATCAGTCAGTGCTATCTCGAGGCCTCTGGGAAGCTCCACTATTCAGGATGTGGTTTCATGGCAAGAATATTCAGGGTAGACTTAGAAGCTTTTATAAACTCCGAGGTTTGAGAGTAGTCAGTGTATAAATGATTTTCTCCAGTGGAGTGTGTGAGTGTCCGGAGGAGTGAGGGAAGATAGAGGGTGGGGTTGTACATGTTATACATGATTAGAAAAAATACAAATATGGCTGTGTTGTGTTGTCTTAGATGTGCTTTAGGTTTTGTAGATAACAAATTGCAATGTGTTTGTCTGCATTTTGGCCTTTGGGGTTTCCCCACAAATCTTGGGTAGAGTTTGGGTGAAAATTATAGGGAAACAGTCTTCGTATACCCAGATCAAGGAGCTGTCTCCACCATTTTGAGTCTCTATGGCTCTTTGGGGCCTGAGCACCTGCAGCTGTCCTCCGCTCAGTCAGTCTGCCTCTGCTCAGCTCAGAGTGCCCTGCCCAGAGCTGCAGGCACACCTGTGGAAACCCAAAATGCTGGTGGTCAGCCTTAACAAATGTAAAAATAATAATAATAATAATAATAATAATAATAATAATAATAATGGCTATCATTTGCTGAGTCCTTTCTCTGCAGGTGCTGTGCTAAACGCTTTACAAACATTTAAACATTTTAACACCCTGTGAGAGACAAAATGATTATCCTCATTTTATAGATAAAGATGCCTGGACTAAGAGCCTAAGTAACTTGAAGCCAAAACGTCTCTCTCCAAAGCCACTGTGCTTACCCCAAAACTCAGCTTCTTCCTTAGATCATCTCCATGCTGTCTGTAGGTTAGGTAAGAAAAGGTGAACTAACAGAGAGAAACAAAGGGAGACAGATCACTTATTCGAGTCCTCTCGCCTGGAGAGGAGCCCCATGAGTGTCCATAGGTTTCATCCCTGCATTTCCCTCCACAGCCAGGACCTGTGTGGCTTCCCTACATGTACAGAGTCCTTTACAGCCATCCCTGCATGTGCTCATCACAACTGCCTTTTCCCGAATGCAGGAGGCGGGATGGTATCCTTTCTATTATAGATGAGGAAGCTGAAGCTTTGTTTTCGAATCCCCATGGTAATCCCAAATGTATGGTTTTGAAACAAGCTTTTCTCTTCTTTTGTTTCCTAGAAGACCACAAACAGAACGGGCAGGATAAGAACTCTTCCATAACAAGACTATGAAGCCACTTCCAAACCAATGCCTGGCCACCGCCCCCACCCCAGGAGGCCTTGGGGGGGCGGGGAGAAGGGAGGGGAGTGGGCAGTGGGGGTGTCCATTTCCTGGGCCCTGCCTGTGGCTCTGGCCCAGCCTTTCTTCTTTTTTTAATGACCAATTTTTAGTTTTGGAGAAAAAGAAAAAGGCAAAAGAACGTGAATTTGAGATTTATAGAAAACAATACCAGTGTTTTGTTTCCGTTGTCTTTCGTTTGCCACGTGTACACATCCTTCCAAGCTTGGGGGTCACTGCTCCAGCTTCGGGTTCTGCTACTGCACCATCGCTTTCGCTCCGGTTATGAGGGCAAGCAGCGCAGGATGTCAGTTCCTGATTGGCATCGTCGCAAACTTAAACTGTAGCGCGAGCAGTGCTCCTTTACTGTGCTCTCCTGCCCATCCCTCCCCACCCCTCCTACCCGATGCTCACTAGGTCCCCAAGGCCATCAGAAAGAGCTGCCCTTCACAAGCTCCCCTCTACACAGGCTGCTGGGAAGAGGGGGTTTTGCTGGGGAGCATCCTGTGTTTGAAGAGCTGAGACCAGAAGCGGGCAGGTGGGCCCAGGGCACTTGTCAGGTTTCAGTGGTGCACCAGCATTGTGGGAGCCAGATGCTATGGGTGAAATTGAGGAGAGCAGCCTTTTAATGATGTGGTTTACCCAATACTGTTTGTCCAGCTGTGCGGCTCAGAGGATATACTGGGTCAGATCTAGAACAGGCCTGGGAGGTGGCAGGAAGCAGAGTGAGGGGGGTGGGAGGGATATCCCCCCAAAGATGATGGCAACTGGCTGCCTGTGATCCTCTGAGCTTGTTAGGAATCCATGCTGTAAAAGCCCTTCCTGGGCACCGTGTACACAGGCCCAAAGCTGAGTAAGCCAGAGGGGGAAGCATCCCAGGGGAGAGGGTGCGAGACCCCAGGAAGCCACTCAGGAGAAGGCACGGTGCCCACAGCTGTGGAAGTTTCTAGGCGAGGACAAAAAGCGGGGAGGGGAGGAAGGGTCCATGGAGGGTTAAGAGTCAGAGCCCTGGTGAGAATAAATACTAGCAGGGCCTGCCCACCTCTCTGCCCTGGGCCACAGGGCCATGAGTCAGCATGCGCTGGGTTATCAGAAGCCCCAACTCCGACCCAGCCACCCCCTGGTGAAGAGCCATTGGGAAGAGAAGCTGGAGCCCTGCAGCTATGAACTTTCACACTGGAGTTTGATAAGAACAGCAATATTAATAAGCTCTAATCAGGAATCAGTCAGGAAAGGAACTCAACGTAAAAGAGATGTTCTGTACTACTCATCATGGAACTTTGCAAATGATATAACGGCACAGATACTAAGAGGTTTTGCTTTATCCCTAAATCAGAAATCAATGCCAGTATCGCACCTGACACAAACCCTCATCCCCACCCAAAATGATGTTTTCTTTCCCATCCCCCCAACCCAAAGATCAGACTACTGTTCAGTTTCACCACATGATTGGATTTTACAAAGACGGGAGCAAACGGAGTGATTTGCATTGATGGAGTTGCACTGACAGTGTTTCTTATAGGATTACTAAAACTTTTTAATACAAAATGAAGATTTTTTTTAAAAATCATGAGTTGATATTAGGTACCAGGACATTAGTTCAGATGATTTCATTTTTATTTCTACAGTGTTAAAAGTGCACTTATATGCTGGTTTATTTACATCTTGGGAAAAAGAGACTGCAAATTGAAGGGAAGATTGTTACTTTTTCTTTTTTTAAAAAAAAGGTTAAGGCAGATTTTAAGACTTATAAATGTTTAAGAAATTATAAACAAGGTTAGACCCTTTGAAAAAAAAGTTTAGAAGATATTCTTAAAGTAAATTTTTATAGTGTTAATTTTGTAATAATTTATGTTTTACTATATTACAGAGCTAACTGACCAGAATAGTTTCAGAACAATATGAAACTTAGGAAAGTTTAAGCAATGTTTATATTTTTAAAATGTTCTTTGAATTATGTTTTTATTGTACATTTCTTCAAACTGAAAAGTATGTACATATCTTTGTTATTTTTGCACAATTTTTGTCTCGTTCGGTTTTAGAAGTCTGTTTTTTATAATTTATTTTGAGTTGTAAAACTTGCAGGAGTAAAGACAAACAAAAAAAATCTCAGCAACAGGATAACCCTCTGATTTATAAACTCTTACATTCAAAGAGGGGAAACGAAGGTTGAGAGATTAAGTGGCTGCTTCTGAAAATAATGTCTCGACAGGGACTGAAGGAGCAATTCGATAGTAGGTTTAAACATTTTAGCTCTCTGCATCTTGATTTGCAAGCTGGAATAAAGAGGCCCCCCACCGAATGCTGCTGACTTGGTGAAAGACTGGCTCTGACCAAGGTGAGGACTTTTGTGGAAAACTGAGCAAAAAGGGAAAACCCACAGTGTTTCTTCCTTCACAATCAACCACAGGTTTACTTTATAATGATGTATTCAAAACTTACAGCTTGAAAAATGGAATGCAAATAAGGTTTTCTTTGGGTTTGTTTTAACGGAGTTCAACTGGACCCGCCTACAAAACACTATTAGAGTGATATCTTTTAGGTACTTCTTTTCTGCCCACCCCACTAAGCCCTCTCTCCCAGCCCCCCAACTGCACACACCCTCATTTGCCTGAAGATCTCATGACTTGTCGCCAGCCACGGAGGCTAGAAAGCTCTGGTTGTTAAGCATAACACAATGCATAGACCTGTCAGCCATAAAAACAAAGCGACTTGGATAACTTGTATGCCTTCTTTTGTATCAATGTACCAATTGTAAATAACGCTGATCAACCTTTGTAGAGAATAGTTTATACAGCATATTCTATTATTGCTGATTCTCAGTGAACTCTTGTTTTAAAAAAGGAAAAAAAGAAATTTTCTATTTACACCTTCTATTTTGTTATTATGCTGTCGGCCCATGGCACTTTAACAAAACTCTGTGGGTTTTACGTAGCTGGTCAGTCATGGGGTATATTAAATAACTGTTGTTGCACAGACAAGAATTTGCACCTGCTCATTTGTCCTTTCCTACTACCGATTTTAGAACCTTTTCCAGAAGAATTTTGAAGAACGCATGTCCCAAACATTCTAAACAAATGCCACACTTGTGGAATGGGTTTCTTTTCCACGATCCATATTTTGTAACACTAAATATTTTCCTTCTTTGTCCTGCACCTTTACGTATTATCACTATCAAATAGAATTCATTCCATGCCTGTGGTATTGTAAGCAGAATAAATGTCTAAAGTAGGTGTAAATAGTAAATTCTATGGCTTACAGTTTTAAAAAAGGAAAGAACAAACGTGTATCTATTGATACTGCCATGGTTCAGCACCAGGCCTGGAGACATTCTCCAGTGAGCGATTGTATTTTTTTTTGGGGGGGGGGAGGCTTTTTTTTTTTTTTTAACATGGCTTTGTAAATAAAATAATTTATATGTTTGTAAAACAAAGTCTTTGGGTTTTCCTAAAATTTAGATTTTTGTTATTTCTTTTTTCTTTNTTTTTTTTTTTTTGTAACATGGCTTTGTAAATAAAATAATTTATATGTTTGTAAAACAAAGTCTTTGGGTTTTCCTAAAATTTAGATTTTTGTTATTTCTTTTTTCTTTTGGGTGAAAGTGTTCTCACCAGAGGAGCCTTCGGGCTAGGACACACTTCTGAGGCATAGAAGAGGAGAGAGTGAATTCATTCAACAAATATTTATAGAGCATCCTGGCTGTGGTTGCCCCTGAGCTAGGCGCTCTGTGCTTAGTGATGAGAAACAGACACAGTCCCAGCTGTTTTCTGGAAGCAACCCAGTGGGGGAGACAGTAAATAAATAAACACATGATCAAATGTGTAATTACAGATTGTGGCAAATGCCATGGTGGAAAGAACTGAGTTGTACGAGAGAGAAAATAAGAGAAACTGAAAATGAGTGAGTGGAGTGCCGCCAGGGAGTTTTCTTGGAGGAAGCGAGCTGAAGGCACAGAGTGGGGAGAGACCCCCAGGCCGAGATGGTCCAAGGTAGGGAAGGCTTGGTAAGCCTCAGGGAGATCCACTGGATGGAGCAGAGGGAGAGAGATGGACAGGAGGCAGGGACAAGGGCACAAGAGACTCGTAAGAGTTTGGATTTTGTGCTTAAGTCACTGGGAATCCTTTGAAGGGCTTTAAGTAGGAACAAGGCATGATCGCATCTCAAAAGATCACTCTAGCTGCTGTGTGGAGAACCAGTTGGGAGCTATTGCAAGAGACCAGGTGAGACAATGTTAGTGTGGTCCCAGGATGATGACAGTAGATACAAAGAGAAATGAATAGATTCAAGATATATTTTATATATTAAACTGACAAGACTTCTTAGGAATTGGATGCAAGAGTAAAGGAAAGAATGACTTCCGGGTTTCTGGTGGAGCAATTGTGTTAGATGGAGATGCCATTTCCTCAAATGCGGAAAACCAGAGGAGGAACAGGTATTTTAGGGGACAAATGGGAGGAATGTTTCATGAAGATCAGAAGTTCTGTTTGTTCATGGATGAGATTACTATGAAACACCTAAGCTGCTTTGTCAAGAAGGCATGGGGTACATATGACGGACGCTATCAGCAGGTCTAAGTTGGAGGCATCAATTTGGGAATGTTTAGTATATGGATGATATTTAGAGCCGCATGCATGGATGTGGTTACTTGAGCAAATGTGTAGGGAGAAGAGCAGATATTTAGAGGTTAGGAGGAAGCAGAAAGCTAGTAAAGATCCCTAAGATGAAGTTTATTCACAAAGAGAAGAGAGAACCCAATAGGAAGTGGTTCCCTGGAAGCCAGGACTATATTTCAATGAAGGAATAGTCAACTAAGTCGAATATTGCTGGGGTTTTGCAATGTGAAAGTCACTGGTGACTTGGTTTCCTAGGGTTGCCATAACAAATTCCCACAACTTGGTTGCTTAAAATAAATTTATTCTCTCAGAGTTCCGGGGACTGGAAATCCAAAATCAAGCAGAGCCTCGTGCCCTCCAAAGACTAAAAGAGAACCCTTCCCAGCCCTTCCAGTTTCTGGTGACTGCTAATGGCTCTTAGCATTTCTTGGCTTATAGATGCATCACCCCTATCTGTGCCTCCATCTTCACCAGGTCTCCTCCATGTGTTTCTCTTGTGTCTCAAATCTCCTACTGCCTTTCTCTTACGAGGATATCTGCCATTGACCTTAGGGCCCACCCGAAATCCTAGATGATATCATCTCGAGATCCTGAACTTAATTACATCTTTTTTCCAAATAAGTTCATGCTCACAGTTCTAAGGGTTAGGACTTGAACATATCTTTGGGGGTGGGGAGGGGGTTTACTATTCAACCCCCTACAGTGAGTGACCTTAGAAAAGCATGTGTGATGGAATGCTGGGGGCCAAGGGTTAGAGTGGTTTGAAGGAAATTCAGTTGTGTAGACAAATCTTGAAGTTAAAAGGCACGAGGGAGTGTTTGGATTTTGGGTTTCTTTGTTATTGTTTATTTTGTTTCAAGGGAAAGGAGAACAGATTACAATTCATATGCTGGTGAGAATGGACAATAGGGGAGGGAAAGGTTGAAGAAGGAAGACAAAGGATAAGTTCCCAAGAAGGGCAGTTCTTGAGAAGGCAAGAGGGACGTGAACCCAAACACATGTGGAGATACTGGCCTTTGTAGTGTGAAAAGATTGACTGAGGAATATTAAAATTTTTAAGAGTTTCTTTGGGCAAAAATGGATTCCGCTCAGACAGTGCCAACAGGAAGTGTTTAGGAGCACTCCACCCATAGGAACTCAGGGAGAGACTTTTATAGAGAAAAGGCAGAAGCAAAGTAAGGAAACTATTGATTGGCTATAGCTTAAAGCCTAGTTGGCTGTGACTGGTTGTCCTTAATGCTTTGATTTCATAACCTCGAGGCATTTACGTATAGGCTTAGATTTGGGTTTGTTTACTTAGGACACCAGGGCATTGAGCCACCTGAACCTAATGGCCTCCTTGTTTAATTTTTTTTTAAAGATTTTTATTGGGGAATTGGGGGAGGGGAACAATGCTGGGGAATCAGAGGAAGGGGAACAGACAAATTGTTGTCCTTTTGCTCTTCAGTCTATTTGTGGAGGACGTTGCTTCACTGGCCCATGTTGGTATTATCATTGCGCTCTTCCTGGGTGAGGCAGATGGGTTGCCGGCCGCTCACGGCGGCTCTTGGCAGCTCACACCAGCTGCCAGCCACTCACGCTGGCTGCCAGCCACACACGGTAGCGTATGGCAGCCCACTGCAGCAGGGGCTGCAGCCGACACCATCGCCTGCGACTCCCGGCAGCCCAGCTCCAAGTCGAGCTATTGTTCACCATCTTAGCTGTAGAGGGCAGTGTCACTGGCCTTCATGTGGGATCCAAACCGGGGCTCTGCTGCTCAGAGCTGGTGTCCCAAACCAGCTCTTAACCAACACGCCACTCGGCCAGTCCTTGTTTAATTACTTTAACAACAGGAAGAGGTACACTTCCTCCAAGGAAATAGGGAAAAACTCAGCTTGTAGATTCACTGTTGGGAAGATGAGGGAATTTCCATCTGATGGCTTCCATTTTTTCAGTGACCCTGGGACAAATTGAGTGTGTGTGAGATCTTGGAAGAAGTTCAAGAAGAGTCAAAAAAGAGTGAAGTTACTAAGGAACCTGGATTGCCACACAGTGTTGAGCACATTTGAGACTCATGATCAAAGCAAAGTCCAGGTATGGAACAGTCTTGGAGAGTGGTTTAAGCACTCCAAGAGCAGGCAATGCCACGTGGAGCCAAGGCTCTCAGGCATCTAAGGCAAATTTCTTGTCATTTTGCCTCAGGCCCAAGTGAATATTTTTACTATTGTGCAGAAGGAAAAAACAGAGGAAGCAGACTTGTGGCTTGGCACAGAGTAAGCACATTGCAAATAAATATTTGTACAATTGGATTATTCACAGTCATAAAATGTCAGTGTGGTGCTTCTGGCACCAAGGATGCCATTGATCTGTTGATTCTGAGCTTTGTCTGACTGGCTGCCCATCGTTGCACTGTCCTGAGAGACTTCTAACTCCATTTTGAAAGGAACATAAACATCCTGTGTTTTCCAAACCTGAAGTTCTGAGAAGGCATCTTCAAACTAGTCATAGGCTTAGAGAATCAATATGAAAACTGGAACTGGTCTTAAAGATTCTCTTTGACATGTGAAGAAACTGAGACACAGAGAGATCAAATGAGGTACAAAGACCACACAGCGGGCTGATGGGCAAACCTGTTCTCCTTTCAATCTTGTGCTCTTTCCATTGTAACTCACGGCCTCCTGTAGAAATAAACTCCACGTACAGACTTTTCTTCCTAAGCCATGGATATTTCCATGAAGGTGTTTGAAAATTCCACGAGTCTCCTAGCTGGTTTACTCAGGTCTCTGGAATTTATTTTACTGTACTTAGCGATTTTTCTCCTTTTTACTCTTCCCATTAGACAATAACTACTTGCCTAATGGATTATTTCTTGCTTTCTGATCTGGCTGGGGCTCTTTCAGAGCAGCAGGTTTTATGTATCCATGTTTCTGAGCAAAGTTTCCAGGAATGTATTTTAATAAGCCGATTTTCTATTCATTACATCTTTACAAGCCATTCACCTAGAAAAGTAAATGAGGAAGGTGCAGAAAAGCTGAATGCCTCAAAACCAAATCAGCCCCAAACAAGTCTGAGTCACTGCAGAACATCTGTGGGAAGCTTGCCAACAACGTAGAAGTATTGCATTTTTGTGACAATTCGAAACACAAATCTGATCTAAAGTCATTCACATGGGAAAGATTCTCTCAACTTAAGAAATTTTGGAACTTTTCTGCGTTTCCTCCTTCACCTTCAAATGTTTCAGTAAAGTTTTAATCAAAGCAAACATTATTATCACAAAAGTGTTTGCTTCCTCTGTAACATCAGTATTATGGAAGCTGCTATTAAAATAGGAGCCTGTGCAGCCTGTATTAGGATTTTCATTTTCTGTCGATTCACTCCACTTCCCTGTCTGATTTCCTAGCCAGTCTTATTGCTAACCCCTCCATCACCCTCCCAAAATCTCTCCCGTTTTTCTGAATAATCCAGACACAGTGTTGAGGGCTGGCAGGGAGAGAGTAACAATTCTGGCAGATTATTGAAATAGAGCAATGGCAGAGCCTATAGAAGTGAAGAGAATGGGGAGGAAAACATAATGCTGGGGTTTTTTTTTGGGGGGGGGGCATGGGGAAGAATCAGATGCATGCTTTTGTTTTTGTTTGCAATTTTTACAAGTCTTTTGGTTCTGTCCTACTCAACACACTGAGAAAAATTTGATATGGATTAGATGCTCAACATTAGGAAGAGAACTGAATTTCTTGGCCAGGGGACATACCCTTAACCAGAAAGGGTGCTTCCAGGTCCTGTGCTCAC